AAAAATCAGCATCATCATTGTAATTAGGACAAAGATTTGATGTATCTTAATCAAATGTTCCCAAATCGTCTTTATCTTTATAATCAATTAAAATAAAAAGATTTGTTGTTAAAAAAGAAAGAAAGAAAAAAAGGTAAGAGAAAAGGAGAGTCAATGCATTGTCCTTTGGTATCTAGTAACAGTAAGCAACATTATTTGAGATTTGCGTGTGGAATTTTTTTAAAGTAAAATGTAGGATGGAAGGTGGCTGAGGGTAAAGGCCATAATGAATGGACAGTATTCTTGACCTCCTCTCCCTATCCTTTCTTCCTTGTTTTTTTATTACTTGTCTATTTTTCTCTCTCATTCTTTATGGGTTTCGTCAACCCTCCATCAACAAATATATATTGAGGAAAAAACTACTACGTATATAATAAAACTAATTGCACAAAAAGAAAATGTTTTAACGTTTTGGTGTAGATGGTGGGAAACTCACCTTATAACTTTGAGATTATCTATATAAATGACTAACTTATGTAAATTTTGACATTATTAATACGAATGACTGACTTATGTAAAATGTGCTGGAAAAAAAAGATTAAACAGTGTATTATTGGATCAAAATTGACTCAGTTTTATTTTTATTTATCAAACATTTCTTTGTTGTTAACATACATAATACGGAGTAATAAAGTAACAAGTGTTATTATAGAAAAACTTAAAACAAAGGAAATATTTTGACAATGACCGTGTTTGGTAAATGACTTTTTGGTTAGTTTTTGGCTTTTTTATGTGGTCAAACAGTAAAAAAAAGTGTTTGGTAATTGACTTTTCATTCAGCAAAAAAGTTGGCTTTTAAGCTAAAATGAAAAAGCTGTTTTGAGTAGCTTTTTTTTTTTTGGCTTGTTGGCTTGTTGGCCCATAAATTATCTAATAAACAGCCAACATCCAACAGCTAACAACTAAATTTACCACACACTTTTATAAACAACTAGCTTAAACAACCAATTTCAAAAGCCATTATAAATAACCAAATATTTCAGCCAGTCAAACAAGCCAAGTGAACCAGCCAACTGCCAACCGTTAACCGCCAACAGTCATTTGCCGAACAAAGCCAATGTCTTTTCTCTAAAATTTTCATTTGTAGTGCATATTAATTTTATAAATTTATACTCAAGGGTAATTTTATCATTCTTTATTTATTACAATGATCAAGTTTCTACCCTATGCACTATTAGTATAAAAAAAAATTGTTTAAATGTAAAATTTTGTTTAACTCATATCAATCTTTCTCTCTTTTTTTTTTTTTTTTTTAAATAAAGAAAACTTAAATTCTCTTACTCCATACTCATGATTCTTCTCTTTTTTATGAAAGTTGTAAGCAAATTGAAAGTGTAAGAAAAATCCTTTTAGTAACCCACAACCTCAAGAAATATTGATACTAAAAGATATTAATGTAATACGATGAAATGACTCAAATGAGTAATTAAGTCATGCGTTGAGTTGCATAAAATTTAATTATGGCAAAAAACAGTAAAGTATAATATACTCGGTACTCCGTACGAAGCATTTTCTCTCTCCATCTTTTAGAGTTTCGTCAACACTTGTTTAATTTAAAGAAATTTTTTTTAGAAAAACCCAACAAAAGTCACACTCAAAAAGCCTGCACCAAAATTCTTACTCACACACAAAGAAAGATAAGAAAAGTAGGAAAAAATAAAGGAAGCGTTGAAGAAACTCTTCTTCTTTCCCCCACTAAAATCTTAAACCACACAAAAAAACTTTGGAAGAAATGTTAAACTTCCTATAATTTTCTTTGCTTTGACGCGTAATTAGCAACTTGAGTTTTCTAATTTTCCCACCTGTAAATCTCTTGTATTAAAAGGAAGATGGTTCATTTTTTATTCTAACTGTTGAAGCTTCATACATCATAACTACCCAACAAACATCATCAACCAAAATTTATTTGGACAGGGTATGTTTCTTTTGTTCTGTATTTTAACAGAATTTTTAGATTGATTGATTGATAAAGTTGTTGTAATTTTTTGGGAGTTATTTTGATCTGGGTTTTTTGGGGTTTGCTCTTTGGGTCAGATTTGGGGAAATTTGGGAGTTATTTTGATTTGGGTATTTTTTTTTTTGTTTGATTGATAAAGTTTCTGTAATTTTTTTGGAAATTTTTTTTCTTCTGGGTTTTTAGGGTTTTGCTCATTTTGCTGAGATTAAGGGAAATTTGATTTTTTTGATTTGGGTATATTTTAGAGCTGGGTAATCTTTGAAACCCTAAATTTTGGGTTAAAAATGGCAACTTCAGCTGCATTTTCGTCGCTGCGACGACGGAGGTCGCCTCCATTGGAGGCGTTTCTTGCTCCGGTGGACTTGACTGACGGAGGAATTATCAGAACGGTGTTATCTGTTGCTAATGAATTGGTTGATTTGCATTCTGGGAAAAAGTTGCCATTTCAGAGGCAGAATTTTAATTCTTTGGTTAGGAAGCTTGAGGTGTTTGTTGTTGTTTTGGATTTTTTGAAGGATTTCCGGTCGTTTTCGAGGTTTTCGTACACAGCGATTATGTGCTTTAAAGAGCTTTACTTGCTGTTCTATAGGTGTAAAATATTGTTGGATTATTGTTCACAGTCTAGTAAATTGTGGATGCTCCTGCAAAACCAATCGATTTCGGGGCATTTTCATGATCTTAATCAAGAGATGTCGACCCTTTTGGATGTTCTCCCGATCAAAGAGCTTAGTTTGAGTGAGGATGTTAGGGAGCAGGTTGAGTTGTTGCAAAGGCAGTTGAGGAGAGCTAAGTGCTTTATGGATAAGAATGATGAGATGTTGAGGCATCGGCTATATTCTTTCTTGTACGAAATTGAGAAGGGGCAGATTCCTGATTCGAATGAGCTTTGGTTTTTCTTCGTGGACAAGTTGGGGATTCGCGATCCCAAGAGTTGCAGAGCTGAAATTGAGTTCTTAGAGGAGCAGATTGTTAACCACGAGGGAGATGTGGAACCCACGGCTGCAGTGCTCAATGGGTTTGTAGCACTCACTCGTTATTGCAGGTTCTTATTATTTGGGTTTGAGGAGGAGATGGAGGTGGGAGCTGAGAGACACAAAAAACTGAGGAAGGGAATGATGACTCAGGAAATCGCGGATACTTTCCTTACAATTCCAAAGGATTTTTGTTGCCCCATATCGTTGGATTTGATGCAAGATCCGGTGATTGTGTCCACCGGGCAGACCTATGATCGGTCTTCAATATCAAGATGGTTGGATGAAGGACATTACACTTGTCCGAAGACAGGTCAAATGCTTGCCAATAAACGGCTGATTCCCAATAGAGCTCTTAGGAATCTGATTACCCAATGGTCTGTAGCTCATGGAATTCCTTATGAGCAACCAGAAGGTGCAGAATTCTCTTCAGAGCTTGCTGCAGCTTCATCATCAAAGGCTGCAGTTACAGCAAACCAGGCTACAGCGTATCTCCTTATCCAACAACTTGCTTCTGGGTCAGAGGATGCACAAACCATTGCTGCCCGTGAGATCCGGTTGTTGTCAAAAACAGGGAAGGAGAACCGTGCTTTTATTGCAGAAGCTGGTGCTGTTCCTCATCTCAAACGGCTATTGCTATCTGCTAATGCAATTGCTCAAGAGAATTCTGTCACCGCAATGCTTAATCTATCAATCCATGACAAGAATAAGGGCAGGATCATGGACGAAGAAGGGTGTTTGAATTCCATTGTTGATGTTTTAAGGTTTGGGCAGACTACGGAGGCGAGGGAAAATGCTGCTGCTACCTTGTTTAGCCTATCAGCAGTTCATAACTATAAGAAGAGAATTGCTGATGAAAGTGGGGCTGTTGAAGCTCTTGCTTATCTATTAAGGGACGGGACTCCCCGAGGCAAGAAAGATGCTGTGACTGCTCTGTTTAATCTTTCCACGCATACTGAGAATTGCGTAAGGATGATAGAAGCAGGGGCAGTGTCAGCAGTTGTGGGAGCTATAGGGGTTGAGGGGGTGTCAGAGGAGGCAGCAGGGGCATTGGCCTTGATAGTGAGGCATCCTGCTGGGGCTGAGGCTGTTGGCAGAGAGGAAAAGGCGGTGGCTGGTTTGCTTGGGTTGATGAGGTGTGGAACCCCACGGGGAAAGGAGAATGCAGTTGCTGCATTGCTGGAGCTTTGTCGGAGTGGTGGTGCTGTTGCCACCGAAAAGGTGCTCAAGGCACCAACATTGGCAGGTTTGCTTCAAACTTTATTGTTTACCGGGACAAAACGGGCAAGGAGGAAGGCAGCCTCCCTTGCCAGGGTTTTCCAGAGGAGAGAGAATGCAGCTTTGCATTCTGGTGGTGTTGGAGTTGGATATCCGATAGCTGGGAACTCGACCACGAATAGAGATACAAGCTTCGTTGGTGATGTATCTGTACCCATGTCAATATCAGTACCTGTTGTGCAAGGGTAAATGCTCACTGCACCCCTTGTTTTAAGTTTGTAAATGTATATCTTTGTATGTCCAAATTTTGGTTGGAAACTCGAAACATTCTTTCATTCAAATATGAGGCAATAGTAATGAAATTTAGCAATACTACACCTACTTTGTGTGTGATCTCATAACATAACATTTATCATCCGTATACGTTGTTTTAGATTATCTAGTACTAGCTAATAGTTGAAACTTCCTTTTATATGTACAAATTTGTTCTAACGTCACCGTCTTACAATCTTACAAAAGATAATTCTTTTTCCTGTTACATCTGTAACAAGTGTGATTAACTTGTGATTTACTTCTACTAACGTATCTCTTATTGCATCCATCAATTTTTTTCGATGTTGACGATTATATATATTTGATTCAGCTATTTGTGATTCCATTAATGACCTATTTGTTGGGTCATTTGGTGTATGGACCTGAAGTCTGAAATGACATTTTCGAAAGGGATAGTAATTAAAGGAAGGCCTATTCATCAGGTCTTTTGGTTGAATACTAACTGTCGTAAAGGGAAATAAATTGAAGTATCATTGCATTGTTCTCAAAGTCACATCCCCAGGAATTCCGGAACGACAATTATTGTTATAAACTATTTTCTGTTGTGTATTCCGTCATACAGCACCTCTTGCAAGTTAGAATGGTACAATTACCAAAATCACGGATCTACTTTGTCTGTGACGAGAAAATACAAATACATAACAGTTATCAGAGTTTTCAATTATCGCCTTCAGATATCCCAAAAAACGTCCCCTTACTTCCAGAATATCCATAGAAGAACCCCTTTGAAGCCAATGTGCCCCGATATAAGATTATTGTTTTATACAGAGTAATGTATCTGTAATCCCAATCCCTCGTCTCAGCTAAACCGTAGACTTCTTAGTCATTTAGATTTGAAGAACTGCCACTTGGTACTAGGATGTCAAAGTCACTCACAGTCCATTCTGCAACTTGATCAGGGTCTCTGTATACTTCCACTCCCAAATCTATGGAAGTCCATCGCCGCTTGATTGGTTGTGTTCCTGGATCCTGCACATAATTTCAACATAATTAACTTTCGTGAAAACACTCTTTTAAGTCTGTACACTCGCCCATGATGTGCCTAAAGGTACACCTGCAGCGTGCAAGACAGAACATGTCGTCTGGGTGTAGTTACTGCTAACTAGCTATTAGCTGAGAGGTAATACCAGTCATTTCTTCGAGTACAGTTAAAAACTTTTGTATACAAATATGTAAAGTTTATTTTTGGAAGGAAAATGAAAAATAAACAACATACCTGGTAAAAGTATAAATTTTGTGACATTCTCCCCACATCAAGCAGCCAACTCTTGGGGTTACCAATCCAACCTTCCCCTTTCTTTGTAGGATAACCATATTCACCCCACACAGGATTAGGCAAAATCTGCAATATTTCTTGAGGTTGTGGGTTACTAAAAGGATCACACTTGCTATTAGGCTCTTCTAAATGTTTCCCATTCCCTGGAGAACAGTACATGTGGTAAGCGTCATAAGGGTAGTTTTTAGTGTCATTACGATGAACACGGGTACCATTAGGGAAGGTGTGATAGGGTGGGCAAAGCTCCAGCCTATCAGGCTTGCACCACGACTCTGTCTCAGGGTTGATGATCATCTCACTGTATCGCGTGACATCTGATGTAACGTCTCCATCACACGGCTGCCCATTGTTCTTCCAACAGCTTCCCATATCCATTAGGTAGAATTGGGTCTCTGAACCCCCTCCTTTAGTTACATTCAACGTGAATCTTACTTTGAAGTTTGGAGATTCTAGATATTTCTGTACAATTCAAGATTTAGTCATTGTTAGTGCTTTGCATTGACATCAATTTGGCCTTAGAACACACAGTTAATTACTGAAAATTTGCAATTGCAAGTAACAATGAAATTTTGTACTCTGTTGTACACGAAAAGAGCTAATTCTGTAACTGCAAGTCCTATCAGTCATCAAGGTGGTAAAAGTAAAGCAAGGAAGAGTAAGAAAAGATGTAGGACAACTTACAGTTTTTATCATTCCTCTAGTATCATAATGGTAACCACCTGAAAACCCTTGGATAGCATCTGATCTCAAGTAAAGCATCAACCAAGGATACCTCGTCGAGGTCTTAAGAACATGTCGAAAAACCCAACTCCCTTTCCCAATTTCTTTTTCCCAGGTAACAGAGTAGAAAGAAATATTCTTTGCTTGATCAATGCTTCCTATCTTGCTCGAATCAATATCCACATCCCACGTCCCGAAAAATCGCCCTCTTAGGGTAGTTCCTACTAATGTTGTGTAGTTATGATACATTGTAGGGTGGCTCATACACCCTTTTCCAAAACAATCAAACCGAGTATCAGGTCCATAAGGGCCAACTTTTACGCCATCCTTAGGGCATATGGCGGCGTAAGTATCCAAGTTCCCATTTTTCAACATGATCATCCAGAAGTGCCATGGGTTTGGCTTGTCTTCCACTTTACATTTTGTGCCTAAATACACTTCTTTTTCTGCTGCATACAGGTCTACATTGTTGAAGAATTTCGACTTTCCTCCTGGGATCGGATTCCCTACTCCTAATACGTTGTCCTGCTCAGTGACTTTGTGTTGTATTGAGTAACAATCTTTCTTCCCTGCATCTTCTGTAGTAATAAACTGACAGCATTAATTTACAGAAAATTTGAGAACCATATATATACATAGCTTGCTGATAAAAGTGTAACAAAAAACACATTAACTCAAGAAAAAAAAAAAAAATTCATCTTTCTTACACGGATGATTCTAAAATGACTACCATTATATTAAATTTATATTGGCTGATTTTAATTTATTTTTTAATATCAAAATTAATTATAAATTATTTTTGTAATTTTTAAAATTCATTTATTAATTTTGAAATAATTTTTAATATTTTTTTTAATAATTTTCATAATTAATTTACAAAATTTAGTTTTTATTATTAGTGAAATTAAAAAATAATTCATAAATTAATTAGAAAATATAAAAAAAATAAAAAATAAATTTTATAAATAAGAAAAAACATTTATAAATATTTTGATGAAAAAAAATAAATAAAAAATCTGTCAATAAAAAATTAGTATAATGATAGTCACTTTAAGGACGATTACCATAGAATTTTTATTCTTATGCATTTTATAAATTTATATGTAATCCTACAATATCAAAGACTTCACATTTTTATTATCATAAGACATATAGTCCTACACACGAGTGACATTAATCTAATAACTCGCTTGTGAGTACTTATGTTAAACGCGCTTGTGAGTACTTATGTAATTGCGTAACAATTTCATTGATGGTCTTGCTTCAAAATAAGTTAATGTAATTTTGAAACAAAAGAAATAGAAATGAAACACTAGAAGCTAAGATATTAGACTTACCAATAAGTTCAAAACAATCAGCAGCTCTTGGACTCCCAAAGTTTGGAGTTTCTTCACCAACTTCATTGCACTGGTTCCATGATTCAATGGCCACCCTTAACCCATCTCGTCGCATCCCTGGATCGCCTACGGCTGATTCGTACGTATTTGTTCCATCTTTCTGAGAAAAGCTTCCCTTACAACATCCCAAAACCATTACAATGAAGAGTAAGAAACCATCTATGAAACATTTTCCCATTTTTGCTATGTAAAATGCAAAAATAAAAAAAAAAATCTATATTATGGTATATAGACCTATAAAAAAATCTAAATTGTAAGCTAACTTTTTATTTGGTCTTAATTTCTAATATTTTACACGCATGAAATGATGAAATGATACTATCCTAGCTATCTGCTAGGGGTATTAATTACACAATCAACATGCTAATTATAGAATTAATTAGCTGGATATCACTATAAGAACTCCTAACATCTTGGAAGAATTTAGCTAACAATTTATTAAAAAATTGCAGAGGAAGAAAATTTAATTTGACCAAATTGATTAAGAATCTTGCCTATGGTATAAACATTAATGTGGGGTATAATACTAGCTACATATATATGAATGGTGCAATTGCAAGTATGCTAAACTGTACCTACTTTTAGTGTTATGTTGATGGTATATTTTGACTACAACATTTACATTTGTATTCATGAAAGAAATTAAAACGCGAATGTCAGTTAACTTAGCTGGTAAAGAGTATTGAGGGATGGTATACTGAATGAAATGCTCTAACTTAGCAGGATTGATAGAAAAGAAAGGGATAAAGCAAAAGGAAGAAGGAAGGAGTTATGTATGGAGAAAAACAGATCATTTCGTATGTACTTTTATAAGCTAGTCTTAACAAACTCTCCCATTATTGCGTATTAAGTTACCTCTAAGGTTTATGTCATACGGAAAAACAAACTAACTTGCCTGATTGAAAATCTACTACATACGTTGCTTTAGGTAATTGTATATAATTATATATCAACTAGGATGTAGAGATAGTGACTATTATCGGTTCTAATGGTCGGTCTGGTGAGCGATAGTAAGCAATGGTAATGTGAATGAATTTATAAGAAAAATGAACATTCTGATGATAATGGTGGTTCACAGTCTTCAGTTCTTCACACAATTATATTTTTTTCTTCACATATCACCATACCTTTGGCTTTTAGATTGAATTTATAATTTTACGTAGGCCTTTTGTAGTTTTGTAGCTCTTCATATGCCCAAAAAAAAAAAAAAAAAAAAAAAAACAAAAATCTCAAAAAGCAATTTGTAATTTACACGTCGTATGCTCATTTGTTAGATGTGATATACTTGTATACGGAGTATGAGCTTGCGACATTATGAACAACTCCATTAAAACATTAAGCATAATTAGCAATCCCATTGAATCATTGCTGTATCAATAACAACCCCAATTGTCATTAACTCCATTATGTAAAGTCATTTAGGCATTGGTACTTTTGTAGTATCTTAATATTTATGTGTCACGCCAAGTCGCCAGTTAAGATGTGTTGCTTTGCAAATACCTTTCTTCTATATAAAAATAAAAAAATAAAAAAAAAAATTTTAAAAAAGAAAGAAATTTATGAAATACTACTTCCAGTATCTATACTTAATCCAAAATAAATCTCTTACAATTATACTACTACGAACTTTTATTCCCTCTTTTCCTAAAAAAATATCCCATTTTCGTTTTATACAATCTTCAATATACAAATTTGACTAAGGCCCATTTCACTTCACCTTAAATAAATAATATTAAGTAAAAATAATTCCAGTTCCGTAAAAATAAGTACAGTTTAGTAACAATAAGTTCAGTCAGTAAAATTCAGTATCTTTATTGAAGAAATATAATAGAAAATCAGTAAAAATAATTTCAGTTTAGCAAAAATAATTTCAGTTTAGCAAAAATAATTTCAGTTCAGTAAAATTAATTTCAGTTCAGTAAAAATAATTTAAGTTCAGCAAAAATAATTTCAATTCAGTAAAAATAATTTCAGTTCGGCAAGAATAAGGTGAAGTGAATGGGGCCTATTATATTTTGTTTCGTAATACTCCGCAATAAAAATTATTAAAATTAATACAAGTTAGTGTCAATGCAACGAGTGATACAAGTTTTTGTCAATATTTACAACATACTATAAAGTGAGTGTCAACGAGTGTAATTTTACCGAAACTAAATAAGTATAACTATATATATTCATTGAATTTAAAAAGACAAAAAACTATAATGATGTGAATTACTTTTGAGCATAAAAAAGTCTATAAATATGATAATAAGAGATTTAATTAGAGGTGAGCCAAAAAAAATTCACTCAATTTGGGCCAAATCTTTGGGCTGGGCTGGGCCCAAGTTTGGTCTGAAAAATACAGTATATGTCCAAATCTATACTATTTTGGGTCATTTTCTAATCAAATTACTCGTAAAACTATAACTACTTTCTCCGTTTTTTTTAATTGAATCACTTTTGCTTTTACAGACTCCTAGGATATTTTTGGAGTAGATGGAAGTAAAGAGAAAAATAAATAGGGCCCATGTAATAAGAGAGATATAGATAATTTATTAGTTAAATAGAAAAGTGATACAATTAATTTAAAATTTCTTTTTTAGAAGTGATGCAACTAAAAAAATGAAGAAAGTATTTATTTTTAAGTTTGCCTAAAATCCAAACTAAGAGGAAAAAATCATGCTGGATCGGGCCCAAAATTTTTCTCAAAGCCGAGTAAATTTTGGGCTAGACCGGGCTAGTTATTATCATGTCATTTGATATCATTATCAAGTGAGATTTTATTAATTCTGTCTTAATATTTATTTCTCAAGAATACTTGTATGAAATTACAAATAGATGACAATAAGTTAACGAAATTAAAACTTATATGGTCTACTTTACTCTAAAATTTTCTATTTTTTTTTTTTTGAAAGCTTAATTATTCTAATTTGGTCTAATCTTATTTGATTTTAGCATGATATATTGTGTCATTATTGTGTGCGCCAACTTTAATACTCGTATGAGCATATGATTTTTGGCATTTGAAGGACTTCCCACCTAAAACTTTGATATCCCACTTGTAATCTAAAGCTTGAAATTTAGCTAAAGTTAGTACAATCTTGGATTCTCTACGGTCGGTAACAAAGGAATCCTGAAGTTAAGTGATCAAAAACACAAAGAAAAAGACAAAATATTGCAGAACTAATAAAGCCAAAAGGCAAAAGCATAACTAACCAAAGTAACACCATATATTGATCCTCATAATTGTCTTTCCCTATTACTGAATATAGTACCTATATTTTAGCCCTTTGCATGATTTGAAAATTAATGGCAGAATCTCTTAAATTTTCTAGTGAAAGGACTCTTTGATCATTTTTTATTTGATACTCCCCTCTTGTTTTTATTGCTAACACTTTCTTAAAACCGTCGGTTTTTTTTTTTTTTTTTTTTTTTTTTTTAATTTTAATTCCAACAATTTTTAAATGGAAATACTACTTAATATTTTATTACTTCCCGTATTTCTGAATAATTGACATGTTCAACTTTTTTCACTATTTATTTATTAACAATGACTATAGTTTTTTTATTAACATAATATCAACATATTATATCATAAAATATGTTGTCAAATAAGTATATATATATATATATATATATATATATATATATATATATATTTATAGTTTTCATTAATATTTACTTATGTAAAAGTAAGGTCAAACTAATGCATTGATATATGTGCAAAGTTTGATTGTGTCAGTTATTCTGCTATAGAGGGAGTATATTCTTTGTATCTTTCTTCACATGGTCTCTCCTTGCACTTTTTAATGTTTTCCTACTCTGTTCTTTCACATCCGTTACTTTTACATAAACTATTCACAAACTATCACCTTTTCTTTCTATGTAATTTTTTAATTTCTCACCACTTACATACTCCCTCCGTCCCATAATACTGGGGACGTTGGGGTAGACACGTAGTTTAAAAAAACTACAAGTTGATCCATTTAAAACATTTGTTTATTATATAAAGGATTCTTTTTTATATTTTTATATTATAAGAAAACAAAAGGTAAGGGAGGTAGGGGCAATAAGTCTTACATGCACTCTGGTGCAACTAGGATAGCTGCACCACGCCCTATAATATGAACATTTGGTAAAAAAATATGAACACGTAAAAAAAATGAACATTCAGTAATAAAAAAATGAACACGTAAAAAAGAATTAACATTTAGTATTAAAAACTGAACATGTTAAAAAATTGATTATTTACTATACTAAAAGTGAACATGATTCTCATATGATCATAAAATTGATGGACCACGACCTTAAAATAAACATTTAGTAAAAAAAAAAAATAGAAATTGAACACGTAAAAATAAAATGATCATTTAGTAATAAAAAAATGATTATTAAGTAATAAAAATGAACATGTCAAAAAAAAAAAAAATATGAACATTTAGTATAGTAAAAATGAACATTTATCATACAATCATAGAATAGTTGAACCATACCTAATAAAATGAACTTTTCATTAAAAAAATATGCGAATACACTATATAAAGTGAACATTTAGTACAAAAAAAAAATAAACACGTAAACAAATAAACACATTTAAAAAAATTATGAACGTTTAGTATATTAAAAATGAACATGATTTTCAATTCAAATTCATTGTATATAATAATTAACAAAAAATAAAGATAAAATATATCTTTAAATTATTTTTAGTGTACTAAATGTTCATTTTGTACAAAATGTTCAATTTTAAAGTACTGTATGTTCATATTTTTTTTTATTTACATAACACAAATTTGATTGTAATTATTTTAACTTTCAAAATTTGAATGTCCATCTTAAATCTAATCTTAGTTCATTATAGAAACAATAATTATCGATCTATAACATAATAGATTAGGAATCACAAATGCAAAATTGATAAAAATCAACAATTTTACAACATTCACATATTTGTAATTATATAAAAAAAAAACCACACTCAAAATCACCTTAAGTGTCACGATCGTGATCGACGAAGATGATGATGATGGAAAATGCTACAACGATGACGAATTGGAGAATATCCAAATTAGAAGGACAAAGAAGTCTAAAGATTAAAGGAAAGTGAGGTAAGAAAGAAAATTAACTTATAAAAAAAAAGGGGGAGGGGAAAAAAAGAGGAGAGAAAATATTTCAGATTGAGAAGAAAACAGAGGAGAAAGAAGAAGAGAGAGAATTAAGATATAAAGAAGGGGAAAAAAAACGTATGTTCATTTTGAATTACTATATGTTCATATATGAGTGCATGTAGGATTTAATTGGGTTTTGGGGTTTGTGGTCCCAAAGAGAGTATAGGAAAATAATTTTTTTATTAGTGGTCCATCCCATATTTAGTAACGTGTCAAGTATTTTGGGACGGACGAAAATAGTAACTGTGTCAAGTATCATCGGACGGAGGGAGTAATATTTTAATAAATTCAATTCAATTGCATAAAACGCTTTGTCGGTTAAATTGTTGCAATTAAATAAAAAAAATTACAATTGCATTAAAAGTAGGCAATAGCTAGGAAAATGCTAGGGATTAACCCCTTGTGTGTTAAAAAAAAAAGAAGTAACTAGGAAAACGATTAGAAAAAAATAAGATTACCAATATATTATCGACCAAATTTATTGAAATTTAGAAAGAAAAAAAAAGTCAATTATTCCAAATCTTGTAAAGGAAAAAAAAAGGAAAAAAGGACATCAGAGGAAAAATTTTGCACTAAGAATTGCACTAATTCTTCAAAAAGACGGGTGTACGTTAATTTATTGTGAGACGGATTAAAGTTATCTTAAAAGTATTTAAAGTTACTCTTTATACTACAAAAGTTATTATCTTTTTAATAATAAATTTTATTTTACATAAAAACTTATAATGTATTAGATTAATCATATTAGTGTTTATAGTATATAATTATGAATCTATAAGAAATTACACATTAAAATAAAATTCAAATCAATGACAAATTAAATGTCACCCTTTAAGGGTTAAAGTTACCATAAAAATAGTTAAAGTTACCCTGAAATTGATCGTCTTACAATAAAATTAACGTTCACCCGCCTTACACAAAATTTATTGACACATGTCATTCCTAATGTCTGTTTTAGTATTATAAATTACTGATTGTACTCAGTACGTTATAGCATATGATTTATAATTTGTTATCCAAATTTTGCAAAGAAAAAAGTTATGACAAAGTATTCTTATTAAGAACAAAAATTTAGACTTCAAAATAGCTTCTTCAGTTTTTTGAGTTTAGGATTCCCCAAGGAGCATTTTTTATATTTCTCTTTCAAAATAGAAATCAAAGAATATGGAACATATACTCCATATCATATAACTCCATGTTTGGAAGAGAAAGAGATAACTCAAGTGATTAAAGTTTCTTTCTCGATTCTAGGTGATTCTAGAATCGATTCTCATCACTGGCCCGTGTGACTCTTTAAACACCAAAATAAAATAAAAACAAAATATAACTCATGTGTTAGGTTTTCTGCTAAATAACCTCCACTTTTGCACCCCAGGCCTAAATTAACTTATTATACATTATTTAAATTAATTTATAATGCATTAATTTATAATTTATAATGCATTATTTAAATTTAAGCTACTGAAATCTTGAATCAATTTCTCACTCGCCCAATTCAATTACCGTATGAATCATCTTCTCAAACTCATTAAACATGGCTCTAAATTACATATTTTATGCTCTTTAACTAACCATATTATCCTAAATTTATGCCAAGAATGATTGAGTCAAAGGAAAGCACCACAACATTGTCACCTAAAATCGCTATGATTCTACACTCATTGGATTAATATAGTGTAAATGTAATACTTGTATATAGTTTGAAGTTTTGAACCTAACGTTTTATTTCTCTCTTACAAAAATTAACCAATTTTTTTGTTAAAATGCTTTTTCATTTTTATTTTTATTTTTATTTATGTTTTTTTAAATTTTTTTTTGCATTATATAGAGTTATAGTTATAGAGGAGGTAGTGACTTGTGTGCCAAATGAGGGCACGCATAGTGAGTCTTCCATTTTCCACTTTACATGGAGAACAAGTGGGCCCATCTTTTATACAAAAGTGGAAAAAGTGGGGGAAATGCTCACAAGAAATAAGGCGGGTCTTTCTTTTAAACCCCAAACTCACAGCTACAATCAGTAAAACTTAAAGCAACCGTTCTCAACTGCTCTTTCCTCCTTTTCATTATTCCTATTTTCTCATCATTTCCCCTCTTTCCACCTTCACATTCACAGGAAATTAAGGTAAAAAGTTTGTAAATGATGAACTGGGGAAGGAAGAAACCTTCTTCAGCTTCGTCGTCGTCATCGTCATCTCAATCTCATTTGATATCCCATGTGTTTCCTATTTCATGGCTTTCGAAATTCAAGCGAGGCGATAGCCCCGGTTCTAGGATACATAAAGCTAGCCAAAAAGAGAAGCAGCAGCAACAAAGTTTACAAAGGGTTAAGAGTTCATCAAGAGCAACACCAAAGCATCCTAGTTATTGCTTGGATAGTAGGTTCTATACTCAGGATAATGATGGCTTTTGGAGACTTTCAATTAATGAGGGGAGTAAGGGAGGCAGAGACGATTTTGTGGCTCCGCAGAATTATTTTGGCAACTGTAAATCAAATGTTAAAGAAGGTACAGAAAAGAAGAGGATCCAGAAGTCTAAAGCTGTGAAGGCTGAGAATTTGCCAGGAAAGGATACTGTAAGTATGGAAGCTGAGAAGAATGAAAGTCTGCAAAGGACATATCGGAGAATTATGGAAGTAACAGAGGAATTACATAGGGAATTGGATGAAGTAAATGGGTATCGAAAGTCTGTCGAAAAGGAATTGTCAGAGTTTGAACTTTTACCTGCAATGCAGATGATGGGAAGGGCTGATGAAAGGCTACTTAACGCTGATTCGGAGAAAAACCCGAGTGCAGCTTTCAGAGACTATGGTTGCTATCATCATAAAACAACTGATGGAAATGTTCAGAGATCAGAGTGGCAAAAACTGAAAGATGCCAAAATAAAAGAGGTGCTGTTGAAAGGTGAGAAACAGAGGAAGTCTTTTCATGTAGGCAGGGGAAGCAATAAGATCAGAGTTAGCTCTCCCAAGACACCTTCCAAGATGGAATCTTGCAAGATCAAAGCACTGGAAGACATGAAAAAAGCCAAAACGAAAAAGAAGATGAAGGAATTGCAACTGGATAATAAAGCAGCAGAATTAGGAAGTTTTGCTGTAGTCAAAACTTCGCGCAATCCACAACAGGATTTCAGAGATTCAATGCTTGAGATGATCATGGAGAAAAGAATCAGAAGGGCAGAGGAGCTTGAAGAGTTGTTGGCTTGTTATCTGACTTTGAACGCAGATGAGTACCATGATCTCATCATTAAGGTCTTTCGACAAGTATGGCGTGAGCTGGAAGAAGCCTAGTCTAACCAGAAATTACCAAAGAAACATTAGTTTGATGTTTAACTGTTTTTTGTCTCTAAAAGAAAAGGCAGCTATTCTTAATCCTAACAGTATGTGAATAGTTTTCTGTATCTATGCTTTAACCTTTAATTGTAGTCAGGATGTTTCCTCAGATTAACTTGTAGATGAAAATTGCGTAATTTTCTAAAGCATATGAACTCGTATGATCTATGTGTTTTATATTATACCATGTAATCTACTAGTATGATACAGTAGACCCATTATCATCAATACATCACCAGATTACCTCATCAGCAACAAGATGGATTCTCTGGGAAATTTATGATCCAATAGAGCAGAGCACCTGCATCAATAATTTAGCATTTCTTCTGCTGTTTTACAGGGATCCAGATTTGTCTTTGGTGTGGTTACGAGTTTATGACTAGCATTTCAGAATAATTTCTTGTCAGACTGATTTGGTAATGACATCAGAACATTTTAACGCCGTATCTCATTTAGAAAGCTTACTCCATATCCATACATTCTTTAACATCCAAAGACAGCAATAGGTTCAGATACTACTAAATAAGTAGAATTCTTAGTTCAGAGATTCTCTTATTTGATCCAAAATGAAGAGCTGATGTACAGTTCCTAGGGGTTCTCTTTTGTGAATGACATAATCTTCATTGACATCAATACATTCAACTTAAGCATGTTAAGCTTCTTAGGTTGAATCTTATTACTCTTCTTTTTTTTTGTGTTCTAAAATTTTGCCTGAAGCGGAGCAAAGCTTACCTTCAGTTTACTTTCCTTAGCTTGTAATGCTTTTTTATTATTGTTGGTTGAGTTAATGCTTTTGAATTGCACTTCCTTGCTCCATGGCAATCTTGTACATTAATTTCATGGATCCTCAGCTATCTTGTACTCTTGTTAATTTAATAAACTAGTTATTTCGGCTGTAAGTATACATTTACTCCTTAGTTAATACTAATTTGTTTGTTATTTCTATCAGGTTTGGCATATTCATAAAAAGAGACAAGAAACAATAAGGACTTGAACCCTGTCCCTAAACCTCCTCTCTCCTAAGACTTGATCTACTTTCTAGGTTGGACAGTTATATTTTCTTGTAAAGCTACGACAATGCAATAAGTTCTATAAACGTTTTTACTAAAGTCAGCTCAGGTGCAGGGGTTTTCAGTCTTCAGTTCCCATCTTGAGATATAACACATAAGCTAGCGAACTGAGATTTGAGGAAAATTAAACTGATCCCATCCTCCCATTATTCTTAGTCAGGCTACCATATATTTCCTACCATCATCTATAAAAGATTTTTGGGAAGGGGAGAGAGCTGGAGGGGATCCAGACTCTGCTTAAGGGCTGTATAAACTTGCCTGCAAACTGCTTGATTCTACAGAAGAAATGGTGGCCCATTGTATAGCTAGTAGTTATTAGATTACTAACAATGACATTTTCCGGGTGGTTTGTCAATTGTTTCTATTAGTCAATCTATCAGATAAGTAGCAGCATTAGTATGATAGAAGGCATTGCATATTTGCATTGACACACCACCTACTAATTTACCTGCAACAGCAGAACAAGATATCAAGTCTGTTTAGGAAACAAAACCTTCACCTGCTAAAAACTCATGAACAACCCCATCGATTTCAATCATGCTACAGCCAGCCTCCTTTCTTACTCCTTTGGACTTCATATTCCTTCTCACCTTTACAACACTTTCCCATTTTCCTTCGGATGCATAGACATTCGACAGTTGCACATAACCAGCATTGTCTTGGGGATCCAGCTTCAAGAGCTTCTCAGCAACATCCCGTGCTAGTTCCAGATTACCATAATTTATACAGGAAGACAAAAGAGACTGCCATAAAACGGGGGAATCATTTCCAAGAGTCTTCCCTTTCAGGATTTCCTTCGCCTCTTCTAGTAATCCAACTCGACCAAGTAGATCAATCACGCAACCACAGTGCTCAATCGTTGGTTCAATTCCAAAGTCATGCATCATCATGTTAAAAATTTCAAGACCGGCAATCAATAAACCCGCATGACTGCAAGCAGATAACACATTTACAAAGGTAATCTCATTTGGCTTACATTCATCCTCTAGCATCTTACGGAAAATCCCTACTGCCTCCTGGCCAAATCCATTGATGCTTAAACCTCCAATCATCGAATTCCATGTACTCACATCTTTCCTCAACGTATCACCAAAAACTTTCAAAGCCTTTGCAATCTCCCCACACTTTGAGTACATATCCACAAGTGCAGTAGCTAGAAAACCTTCGATACTAATTCCATTCTTATCAATGTACAAATAAATCCATTCCCCCTGACTCAAAGCTCCAAGATTCGCGCAAGCAGATAAAACATTCACAAGAGTGTAACTATCCGGCCTGATTTTCTCGCGTAACATAGCCTGAAACAGGACCAACACTTCACTGAAATCACCCACATCAGCATACCCTGAAATAACAGCATTCCAAGAAACAACATCCTTAACAGGAATCTCATCAAACACCCTCCTCGCTTCCTCAACGAATCCCATCTTCGTGAACCCTGACACCATAAAATTCCAAGACTCCACATTCCTCTCCTCCATCTCATCAAAAACAAGACAAGCAGAATCCATCATACCTCTCTCAACATACGCACTTAACAACGCGTTCCACGAAATAACATCTCTTTGCGGCATTTTATCGAGCAGTTTACGTGCATCTTCAAAACACCCACAAATCGCATACATGCTAATCAAAGTATTCTGAACATACAAATTCTTTCTCATTTCCTCACATTTTTCAACATGACCATGAATCTGTTGACCCTCATTCAACCCACTAAAGGCTGAACATGCCTTAATAACAAAAGGGTAAGTATATTTATCAGGGTCAGTTGAACTACCTAACATTTGGGAGAAAATAGTAAGTGCATTTTGTGGGGTTGAGCTATTGGCATAAGCTCTGATCATGGAGTTCCATGTAAATGAGTTGGGATTGTTGAGGTCGGAGAATATGGAGTGTGCATATGTTATGGTTTGATGGGTTGGGCTAGCGTAGGCGAAAGCGATAAGGCGGCTAGCCGGGTAAGGGTCGTTGATGAGGCCAGTTTTGAGGAGTTGAGCATGAGCTTGTTGAAGCTGAGTGAGTGTTTTTGCTTTCTCTGTGAAGGATATAATGGTTGGGATATGAGATGGGGGTATTGCCATTTGTGTGTTGTGTTTATGGCTTTACAATGTTCATGGTTGCCTATTGGGATGTTTGGGATTGTTCTTTTAAATGGTCCTTTCTTTCAAGTAGGATTAGAATGAATGATACAATTATACTTTCTCGTTTTTTTTTTTTTTTTTTTTTTTTTTTTTTTTTTTTTTTTTTTTTTTTTTTTTTTAATTGTAATGTCGAATACATAATAATTTAGCCTAAGTAACCTATGTGATTTAGGCAGAGGTACAAAATAACGGAAAAGATAAATCAGGTATGTAATTATAGTTTTTGACCATAGTAGGCCGTGACACATATGCGCGCTTACATGCCTTGACGATCAACAATGAGCATTTTTGATGTGATGTGTCATGTCATGTCACTCCAAATATTACAAAAGCGCGGCTCAAGCGCGACCCTTGTCCACCTGCCTTGGTGTTGTGTCATGTTAGACTTACATGTCTAAGCCAACTTAACTTTAATTATTGAAATTATTGGGTCATGTCTTATCTTATGCTTCTCCCATTCTCCGGCCACAAAAAAAGCATGGGCCCATGGCTCAGCATGCCCATTAGTGTGTCGTACCTTGCTTATCCATGCTTGTGTCGTGCCATATTCTTTTCATGATGGGTTATGATGCGACAGAGGTTGCTCTGACCGAATGTTATTTTTACATACATGTTGCAACACTCTAGTTTTTACTACGTATTTCTAAAAATAAAAAGGTTTGTGTTTCGGGGTTTTTTCTGTGTCCTGCGGGAGAGTTACAATTTCGAGACTGGCTTGCTGACCGGTTGTACCTGCAAAATAACGAAACTCCGGTTGGGTGGAGTTCCGCCTCCGACGATCAAATTAGAATTCTTTCGAAGTGAATAGTGCGGGAATTAAATGGTTTTCTCTCTGATTCAAAGAGAATAAATGCTTGTTTGCTTTTTGTGTTTTTTGTGTTTAATTTTCTGAATGCCCAATAAATGAGGTATTTCCCTCTATTTATAGGGCTGGGGAACAGTGTCCCTGCCAAATGAGGATTAGCCACGTGTCAGCTTGGGATTGACTCCCATTGACCCTTTCTGGGACTGACACGTGTCAGCCTCTGATTGGGCCACGTGGCTTGGGTAATATTACCCTAAACATTTGCCCCTCACATATGACACGTGGTGTGCCACGTGGCATCTGTGACATGGCATGCCACGTAGCCTAATAGTGACTGTTGTCACGATCTGGGAAGGGGACGGTTGGTCTCCTTCCCTCTTTTTTTTTTTTTTGAATAGAAGGGGGTGACGGTTCGTCTTTTCCCTCCAATTTTTTGAATTCGAGACAGGGGAAGTGATGCTTCGTCTACCCTTACTTCTATAAAAGAAGTCCTCCCCCCCATCATTTGCCTCATTTGCAAATTCCAAAAACCCTTGAGAAAAAAGAGCTCTAATACCGGCTGATTTTATACACAACCATCAACCTTCTTTCTGATCAACCGGTATTACGCCTGGGGTACATTTGATTCAAGCTTCTCTACAAACGCCTGAGTCAACCGTCAAAGTACAGAACAACCGCTCTTCGCCGCTTGAGGTACTTAGACGTCACTTAGCTGTTTATTCTTATTTTGGCCTACTCACCCGGTTTTTGGGCTTTTGCTTTTGAACCACCCCCATCCGGTTAGTAACCGCCTGGGGTACTTGTGTTCCATTTTTCACAAAATTGCCTGATCAACCGGTTTTCTTTCTTTGCTTTCAAACGACCCCCATCCGATATAAACCGGTTGGGGTATCTTTGGTTAATCTTCCAATTTTTCTCAAAAGCTCTCAATCGACCCCCATCCGAGCTTATCCGTCTGGGGTGCTTTTGGGCAAAATTTTTAATTTGCCGCGTCCTTTTCAATAGAACCCCATCCGGACGTATCCGTCTGGGGTGCTTTTGGGCAAATTTTTAATTTGCCGCTTGCTATTCAATAGACCCCCATCCGGACGTATCCGTCTGGGGTGCTTTTGGGAAAATTTTTATTTCGCCGCTTGCTATTCAATAGACCCCCATCCGGACGTATCCCTCTGGGGTGCTTTTGGGCAAATTTTTATTTTTCCGCTTGCTATTCAATAGACCCCCATCCGGACGTATCCGTCTGGGGTACTTTTGGGCAAATCTCATTCATTTCGGGTGCTTATGTGCAGGGAGATCATCCGGGCAACCGTCTGGACCATCTTTAAGCAGCACCCTTGAAAGATTTTCCTTAATTTAAACAAAAGGTACCGCCCCTACCCCTTGTACATTCTTTCTTCTTTTTCCGGTTGCATAGTCTTTGGGTAGTGAATGGACTCACCAAGCACACACACGGCACAGCCTAGGGCCGAAGCCAACCGGTCGCCGGACACGGCAGAGTCTAGGACTGGGGGCGCCGTCTGGGGGTCGTTGGACCACCCTAGATATTCTGAGATTCCAACCGTCTCTGTTAATGTGCAGGACCGGATGGCTCGGACTAGATGGACGGCCATTGACCCAGAATACCAGTTTGGGGACTCAGCCGATGCTCCGGTTGAGGATATGCCATACGACCGACCGGGTACCCCTAGTACACCCGGGGACAACATATTAGAGGAGCCAGAGAGCTCTGGGGCAGAAGGACCTGCCCAGTCATCAGGGTCATCAGAATCAGCCGGGGTACCGGATGCCCCCATTAAGGACGAAGAGGCCTACAAGTGGCCAGCAATAAATAACCCCCAAGAGGCGTCCGTCAGCGCCTGGGACCTGGTCACCCTAAACGCTACCTTCCCGGCATTCTTGGCGAAGCATCCGGTGGGGGACGGATGGGAAGTGATTGTACCGCCAGCAAACGCAACCGTCGTTTGGGACGACTCGATCCCTCATGCGGACAACTACTTCGGCTGCTACGAGGCAACATTGAAAGAAGGCCTCCGGTTTCCCTTACACCGGGCCATCCGGGCTATCTTGAGGGGATATGACCTGGGAGTATGGCAGTTAACGCCCAACTCCTGGGTCAACATTCTTGGGTACATCGCCGCCTGCGAGATGCAGGAGGTTACGCCTAGCTGGGAGGCGTTTGCCCACATGCACTATCTCAGCCGGGCTCCTGGTGGATGGAATGCGTGGTACACTCTCACCACGCATCCGGAGTTCCTAATGACGCTTGACAAGCCGTCAAAATGGAGCAATTGGAAGAGCAAATTCTACTTGGTCTCATCTCCCTCTCTTCCAATGAATCGCCGGCTGAGGTTCTACAATAAGAATCCGGCACTTCTAGGGAAGAAGTGCGCCTTACCAAGGGTCCCGGCAGACGCCTGGGACCAAATAATGGAGCCAGGTCTTTTTAAGAAGACAACGGTGCCCCTGGCTGATGGGACCGAAGCCATTGTACCCAACCGATGGGTACCGCATCCGAACTGGCTGAAGGATGACGCCTTCTTTTCCGCCTGCGGCCTGAGTACCATGTTCAGCAGACGTAGGTTTATTTACAGGCCTCTTTTTAACCGTCTGTATCACTTCTGCATATTAACTTGTTTTCTTCTTTTTGCAGAGAAAGTTCTAGACATGGTGCCTCCGGAAAAAACACCGGCTAAACCAGCATGGGAAGTCCGCAAGGAATTCCTTGAGAAAAAGAAGGCCGAGGTGGAGGCCAAAAATGATGGGGTAAGCACCGGCTAAGTATTTCCGTCTGCTTGCATATTTAGCAAATACTGGATGTATATCCTTTAAGCAAATGCCGGATGTATATCCTTTTAGCAAATGCCGGATGTATATCCTTTTGGCAAATGCCGGATGTATATCCTTTTAGCAAATGCCAGATGTATATCCTTTTAGCAAATGCCGGATGTATATCCTTTTAGCAAATGCCGGATGTATATCCTTTTAGCAGTTGCAATTTCATCTTTTGCTCGCTTAATACTAACTGTACACTTTGTTTTTGCAGTCGGGGAGTCAGACTGTTCCCCGCTCTCTAAGGGCTCTGATGAAAAGGTCGGCTGAGGTCTCAATCCCACCGCCTCCAAAAAACAGACGGGTCGAGACCCCTGCCCAAACCTCAGTCGGGAGAACTCCGGCTCCTGGGAGGCAAACAACTGGTGGCAAATCCCTGTCTGCCACTCCCGGTTCAAACACTGGGTCTTCTGGTCGGATGATTGCTGTAACATCCGGTTCTGGTGCGGCTGGGGGGTTTCAGCCCCTCCACCTGAAAATCAAGGTATGGATTTTGCCTTTGAACCCCCCTGGCCGCTTGGACCTGCTAGAGTCAAGTCCCAAGCTACCCAGTCCGGGGACTCTCCTGCCAGCCGGCAGAACGTAGGAGGCGCTTATGCTCAGTACTTAACCCATACATAGTCTCTTAATGCAGATGTCTCCCGTTGGCTGGATCTACAAGGTTACGCCAAACGGATGGTGAGGACCATTACCCGATCCGAGAAGGAGGCGGTACCGGGTATAAATCAGGTCAACATTGACAGGATCAATGCCCTGGTTGCTGAGGTAAATACCGGATGGGGTATTTTCTTGCAATTGTTGCTTCTGTTTGATTTGATTATGCAAATAGTCTAGCATTTTTGCCGGGTGCATTGCAGGTCCTACTCAGGGTTGATGGACTCCGGACCCCTCTTCGAAAGAAGCAGGACGAGGTAAGGGATGCCCAGAAGAGGGCAGCCGACCTTATTGATGTCCATCAATACAATACACTTATGTTTGACCTTGAGATTAAACGCTGGGAGTTGAAACAGGAGGAGATTGTGAACCAACTGACGGCTGATGCTGACGCCGCGAACAAAAAAGCTGATGAGGCCGCCCTCAAGATAACTGAGCTGGAAGCAGCCGTTAATGACTTGAAGGAGGCTTCCAAGGAGCGGGATCATCTCAAGGCTGAGGTTGACCGGGTGAAGGAAGAGGCGGCTAGAGCCAAGGCTCAAGCCCAGGCAGAGTTCAGCCAACAGCTGACGGCTGAGCAGGAACGGCTGATAGCTGAGAACGAGCATGACAACGAAGAGCGCTTGAAGATCGCATGGTCGCTGGTCCATCCGGACCTCGAGATTTCTTATTTTGATCTGAGGTACAAGTATGCCTCAGAACTCTTCGATGCTCAAGCTCATGGCTTGGAGAAGCCGGCTCCTTTCGAGGAGTGGGCCGGTTTGGGGGATGATCAGGTAGAAGACCTGACAACGGACGAGGCTGAAGTCCAAGTCCTTGAGGAACAAGTGTCTCCCCCAACCGTACCAGCTCAACCGGATGCCTCTCAACCGGCTCCAGCCCAGCAACAGCAGCAGCAGCAGCAACATTAATCATAGTTTTCTCCTCTCTTTGAACAACCGGCCTGTGTGCCGTGTAGCTATTGTATCTTTTCCCGGACAAGGGTCCGGTTAACAATTTAACAATTCTTGACATTTGTCAAGTTTAATTGATGGTTAATATATTTACCGGATGTGCCGGATTTCTGTGATATTTTTGTTTTTAATTTTGCATTTTACCGCTCCACTTATTGCAAGTATGGTAAAGTAGTTAGCCGGATGTATAGGGTCTGCTGCCCCTGGACGGGTGCGCCTGGGTGAAGTAAATCCAACTTCAGCTATGCATCCGTCCATAAGACCATCCGGCGTTGGCTGAACCGGATGCATGCCTTTTTGGACAGACGGTTTAAAAGTAGTTGGGCAACTTATGCGCATGCCCCTGTAGGGCTTTCTTTGAAAGCTGGCTACTTATGGGGCTTCAGGATTCTAGACGCCGCCTGTATTACCTTTAGGTAATAGGCTTGAATTCGGAGGATCATTCAACTGGACGTT